GTTCTTCTCTCTCTCTCTCTCTCTCTCTCTCTCTCTCTCTCTCTTTAGCCGCGTATCTGTGTCTTCGAGCGCTTATCGAACGGCGAATCTACGGACGTCACGTGCGTGTACACCTTCGAGAATCCGCTTGTCAGCTGAGGAGAAAAGCGTTTTGTACATGTCGATGAAAAAGTCGCGTCGTCTTATGTAATACTACAATTAGCGTTCTTGTACAAATTTTTTTGTTTCTTTAATGTAACAGTACTAGTAAAAGTAACAATGAATGCAACCACACCTATCACAAATATATACACACATAAAAAGCGTTGCACCGCTCCCTACTTAGGCCAACGATATTTGTTTGTGTCGCATTTATCGACAAGCGCTATTAATTTATAAAATGCTATTTCGGGTCTTAATAAATGGCTTATTTCGATTAATATCTAGTGCACTTTCACATTTGTCGTTCACTTCGCTATATTTTATACAAAAGCTCCATGACGAGACTGATGCAACGTTTTCTCTGGTGTGTATAACATAAAATGCGATCAATTTTAGTGCTCATCGTGTAACGCAGCAATATGAAATAGGTCGTATATCATATTAAATGAACTCTATATTATTCAAGTAGTCCATAAACTGAACATTCATGCACCCATAAATTTAATCCCGCGAAAAATTAAATCAATGTAATTTTTCTTGATTTGTGAATTTTGTTCTATTAATCGTTTCTGACAATTGACATATTTGAAACGAATTAAACGAGTTATATAAGATAAATCAACATCGGACCTATAATTTAAAAATAATTTTAAAAAATTTCGTGCGTCATTGGCGATTAATAGATCAGTAAATCTTATTTAAATAATGGCAAAGTTATATTGATGGATCGAGGGAAGTGTGTGTGTGTGTGTGTGTGTGTGTGTGTATGTGTGTGTGTGTGTGTGTACGCGCGCATAAAAAATGTTAAAGCGAATACTTTCAACAAACAAAGAATCCAATCTCCGCTTCCGCGATGCCACACCGATTCTAAATTGGGATCCACTCGATCATCAGGCGAGAGCCTAATTAGCGCACCTGCTCGATGATTAGGCGGTTTATCCGAGCCGGTAATTAACGTTGCCATCATTAGCGTGTTAGTCTCGTTAACCGCCATCCACGTTCCAGTTTAAAAACGGCTTCGATAAGAATAATAAACGGAATCTCATGGGAGGAAAAATAACAATTAACGAGTCACGAATAATTAAATGAGGATTTGGCAAAATTAATTTCGAGCTGCGAGGCAATCAAGATAATCGATAGATATCGCGTCAATAGCTTCATTCGCAGCCCCTATTAATTTAAATTAGCGCGGACGAGAGTGACCGTCAAAAGTTACTTTCTATTAACGCTGAGGGAATTGATTAAAAACACTTCCGTTTGCGAAACTTTTACGTGCCGTTCCCGACGATTTTTGCACATATTCAATCCTTGACTCACGTGCCCGACGAGGACGGAGATAATTCGTCGGACGATGCATACCGCGACGAATAAATCAGCCATAGCGGAGTCAGGGATCGCTAATTTGTTCGAGACACGCGATGACGCGTGTCCGAGTCGTCGGGGAATCGACTTTTTCTACTTTGTTGGACGGCTTCCCTCTGGTTCCCTTTTTTCTACCTTCCCGTCAACATTTCTGTCATACGTCCGACATCCAATAAATGGTATTGCATACACTTGCTCTGTTTCTAGTTCGAGAACAAAGAATCCAGCAGCGACATTTGAGTTGTAAAATATTCAAAAGCGATTACGTGTCGCATATATAACATGATTACCGTTTGTATTACGATGAAATAAAGTTTTTCTTTCTCTTCGAATCGTTCATGTCCAGTAATTTGATGAAAAAGAGGGATAATATATTTTTTATGATGTCAAAGTGCTACAAACAGGAATATGAAATATAACCTGATATGCATGTGTCCTTTTTACGTGAAATATTATCTTGATTAAAAATGTAAAATATGGAAATATAAAATATGTTTCTAATTAGGATTTATGAGACCAGGAACTCATAATTTACGTAAATTGATGAAGGCGGCTGAAATGAAAGAGGCAGTGAACATCTCCGTACGTTCTTTTCACCGAGTATTATACCCGCTGTTTCCCTTACTTGGATATTCGCTATTACGCGGTGTAGAATAGGTTCGCGGAGGGAATTGCGATAATTTGTGTGATTCGCGGAAACAAAACGTCAAGAGAGACAAATATAAATACGTAAGAATATCTTCGTAATTTGTTCAGGGCACGCGAAAACGCGTGCGTGACCGACGGGAATTCGCGAAGTTCTATTTTTCTCGTTTGCTCCATCTATAGTTTTCCTTAATTTCACGTTTCGTCGTGTTCGCTCGCTGCAACGTACTAGCTCAGTTCGGTTTTCAAGGGAAACGCGTTCGCTTTCAAAAATACTTCATGTTCCTTCGCGTAATTATATCGTAGTTTCTTCGTAGATAATCGTAAAAAATTCTCTGAAGAAGTTGTAAGCCAGAAAGAGTTAATTTCTTGAATAGATACGATATAAAATATTTACACCTACAAAATGTAAAGTACGTAAAAGAATTTTGATGGAGGAAAAGCTTTTATTTTTTATATGAGATGATTCTTTGTCTTTCTCCAGAGCAAATGTATAATGTAATGATATAATGTAATGTTTTTATAAAAAGATTTTTCTCTAAAATCATAAATGGGAATATAAAATCAAATGTAAAATATATAAACCGTGAAAATGGACGAAAGCAAATTTAGTCGTCGTAGAATTTCTCAATAATATTTTCGGATAGGTGCACACACCTTTTAATTTATTCTTTCAAAACACGACGCACACGACGTAAAGCTTTGGCTCAGTCTTCTCTCGACCCACAATACAAATTGCTCTCGCTGCATCACTCGTCATTTGTCGCAGTATTTCGAATCGAAGGTTTTATATAACACTACTCGTCGTATGATTACTTGTAAAAAACTTCCCTTAACTTATGTTGGATGTATCTTATCATTCGTTTACAGCCGCAGGCACTCAACACGCTCTCAGTATCGTCACTCCACCCTTGTTCTCCAACACGACACTGTGAGATGGCGACGAATCGCGCCATCGGACGCACCTGAGTGTGATGTCCCAACATCTTGAAGCGGTTTCAGGCCCGTCTGAATAATTCGCATCGGGATCGTTGTTCGGCCAGCTGCCTCCGCGTTGGCACATGGTGGATTTCTTGTTCGGACTTCTCGTCGCTGCCACCGTTGTCACTGACGACGACGCCGTCATCAATGTCACTATCGGTTCCCGGAGAGTGATGGGCCGCGACGGCTAGGTCGCCAGACTCTACAATAAACAGGAAACGATTAGAACGTGGTGTCTCTCGTTAAAATATTTAACGGAGACAGCAAAAAAATTGCCTACGATCGCACGATACGCGAATTAAACGACAACAAATCAACGGCTAATCCATCTAAGAGACAATGGACGTTAACGAGGGAGTGGAACGTCGTTAGCGCCTTTCGAATGGTGTGCTTTTGGCATTTTAACTCCCTCTGGGCCATTAATCCATTTTTCTGCTTCATGTGACTAACGGCTCGCCGACCCATTCGAATGTTACGCACAAAGTGTCGACGTTAAATCGTCGCGACGCCACTATTAGGACTATTCTACTCTCTCTTCCCTCAACGAATTCCCACGACAAATGTGCATGTTATGTGGCACAATTATTAGCATTTATCCAAAACATGCTATTACGAAATATCATCTATCCATAAGAATTTATTACGTTCTTCAAAAAGCATAATTTATCATAAAATGTTATAACCAGATAACAAGTTTCAGAAAAACCTAGACAATTTAATACGTCGATAAATCGAAATTGTTATATAAATGATACGCTTTCCATTTCCTCCTATTTCCTCACTGATACGGTGAGTTAATTGAGTTTTTCTATTTCTCCATTTTCTGCTATTTTTTAAGCAACGTATATTTTTGACAAAATTTGATTTGCAATTCTGCCTGGCGTCGATAGAAAAAAAAAGATTAAATCTGACAAGATCGCTGCTAACAAGAGATTCAAAATTAATCAAATCGAAACTGATGTTTGCAGAGACCATTCGTCATTTATTTTTCTAACACGATTGTATTTGTCTCCACAGAAGGATTCAGGCTTGTTTAATTGAATTTGCTAGAAATGAAAACAGTTTTCGATAACCATAACTATATGAAGTACGTTAGAGAACGTGACTATGATACGTTCGACTCACGATCGAAGAGTACACATAAATGAAGCTATAAAAAATAATGTATCACCGAAATGTTGGATCTGTCAAATATTTTTATTCTATCATATTTCACTGCTGCTAATATTAATATTATAATAATATTAATTATAAAGAACAACTTCTAAATCTAATGAAATAAAATTCTTTATTTTTTTTAAATCAAATAATTTTCAAATTTATTGTGTATTCGTAATTGATTAGCAACATTTTTTCTTTTTTTTGGGGGGAGGGCTGAAGTTTTCTCATTTTCAAATAATAACTCTATCCGTAAAAATGAAAATTCCAACGGAATCCATCATCTACGGCTATAAAAGCGGAGATCAAGCGGCGAGCTATAAAAATGAGACTTAACCCCCGAAGAACGGCGACGCTGGACGATTTTCCAATAACAATACGATCGTAGAATGGCGGCGCTATCTTTAATGATACCATTATATTATCCTTCGCACAAGTTCGTATATAAAGATCGCCATTGCCGATCGCAATTTGCGCGATCACCGATATTGCGCCCGAGCCGTTTCGCATCGTTGGATATTAACGTTGCAAATCGCACTCCCTCCCATGTACATCGTCTACTCATACTTCCAATCCTATCTTCCTTTCTATCCTATAGAACTCCAACTCGCTCTCTTTCTCTCTCTCTCTCTCTCTCTCTCTGTTCCCTCTTCTCTCTTCCTCTTCTTCGGGTTCTCAGTTAACCGAAGCTATAGCTGTTCAAACTTCTATCGGGGACTGTACGCAATCAGCTGCTAATTGGGGAATGATTGGAGGCGCCTCTGCCGATAGTATCGCACCCCTAACTACCTCTGCTATACCGTTATATAACCACCAGCCAGTATAAATACCCCTATAAATGCCAAAGCAGACATATGTGGCACGAGTCGTTTTGCGGCATGAAATAAACAGCGATCGCTCTATTTATTATCATCTTATTTTCATCTTATTTTTCCGGATTAAATGCAGTATTTGTGTATTCTAACTAGGACATTAACAAAAAATAAAAATGATAAAAATATTTATGAATAATTTAGATATAATAAAAATAAAAAAATAGCTTAAACATTTTTATAAAAATCTAAATTAAAATTTAGTAAACAACTCCATTATATATGTGTATATATATATATATATATATATATATATATATACACATACACACACATACAAATTGAAATATTAATTCAGCTTTATTATAGCTTTAAGTTCTTTTTTTATTTTATATATTTATTTAATTTTAACAAAGAAACTTTTATTTCGCATTTTATAAAGATACATTTTTTTCGTCTAAATGACTTTAAAGTTTACCTTTGAATGGAATAGTTGATGAAAGTACGCGGATGGACGTGCCCTAGCTTTATTGGTAAATCATTTATGATGTCTATCGAGTTGCGCTTTTATCTATTTATAAGACCTCTCTCATGCTAGAATTATGATGCTCTTATTTCCGCGCGAAATACAGGTCAGATGACAGTCACGAGTTTTTGCGTTACGCCGCTACAGGAGAAAAGTCTAATTACACGTTTTCGCATACGAGCGTAGCTCGAACACAATACACAATACACCTTTGAAACACCTAAAAGAAGAATTATCGTCGAAAAACCAAAATGCAAATATAATAATATGATTTTATTATGCTTTATATTGCAACAATCTAAAACATATATTGAACGCATCAAAAGGAAAAGTGTTACGTTTTTTATAAATCTGTATAAATATTAAAAAATGAGAATCGCTTTGAATTCACTTTAAAAACGTTTAGATAGACGAGAATCCGATGACCTTTCGGTTTTAAATTCTCGAGCACTAGTACTGTTTACGATGAATAATTGGTATCAATATTTACGATATCAGGAAACTCGTCGAAAAGGTAATACGCGCTCGATTGTTCGTGACTAATTGTGATTTTATTTATAAATATTTATAAATATTTCACACTTTCAGAACAATTTTCCATGAAAGTAATTTTCACATGTGATTTTTGCAACTTGCATGTAACCTTCAACGAATTTTCCTTTGTCGCGAAGAAACAAAGATGAGAGAAAACAAGGGCACGTAAACCTTCGTTACGTATTTGAACTTCGACACGCTGAGAACACGCAGAGGATTAATGGTTGATCAGTTTCACTTTCAGGAAACGAGGGACTCGTAAAACTAATTTTCGCATTCGCATGAATGCGATTCGCCTCTAGCATCAACGTCGACTACTATGAAGGGTCGACAAAGGAATTATACGCCCCTTGACGAAGTCACTGTTTATTCGCTTTAATCTAGCAGTCAAGGCCAGAATATTAGGTTAATAGCTTTTGCGTATATGCCCATATAACAGTCATAATATCTATTATAAAAAGTACATGTTGACGTTAATGATGATTACTTTACAACTAATGTAATGAAGAGAGTTAACATCATTATCAACCGAATTTATTAAAATTATTTCTGTGTATATTTAATTAATTATAAATAACATTTCTATTAACTTTTATAGTTTTTAGTTTATAATAGAGAATTTATTCTGTAAATGCAAAAATAAATAATTCACAATAATAGTATAAATTTAGTATAAATTTAGTATAAATTTTTATTTAGTATAAATTTTTTAAATTATAAGAAGATTTCTTTTCTGTTGATTATAATAAAGAGAAAGAGAACGAAAAAAATACAATTAAAAACTATTGCTTGGTAATCTCTTGCAATTTTTTTTAGCATAATCCTCGCTAAACTGGTAGTTATAGCAGCGAGAATACGAGACAGTGATTAGCGAAGCTATTTTTTTGAGTTATTCTTCCAACACTTCCATTTTTTAAGTACTCTCGTATTATGAATAGACGCGTTCTCTTTTCGAGATAATTCGCCTACTTCCAACAAATTTTTACAACACACCGATGAAACTCCCACTTTTGGACAATGTAGCTCTGTCGTGAAAAAATCATGAACTCTTTCATAATGGAGAATTGAAGAACGTCCCAGATTTTTAAACTAGCGTGACTTCAGTTGATTCAGCCACAACATTAAAATGCAACAGTTACTTCAGGGAATTGCGGTTTCTCGAACTCATGGTATCTGTTTTTTTGCACCTCAGCTGCCCGATTAAGAAATGATAAAATTGTAAATCTATTGAAATACATATCTAATTTTAAAGAAAACTATGCGCTTTTTATATATTGTATATTTAGTTATTATGAAGATATGTTCTCTGACATATCAAATTATTTAACGACAGAATTTAAGTGAGATATTTATCTAACTTCATATTATTAACAATATTCACAATACTTTTTTACAATATTTATAATACAATATTCATAATATTCAACAATATTCATAATATTTTCTCAAATTATAAATTATAAAACAAATAATAAAAAAATAAAAAGAATGTTTAGATACAAATTGTATTAATGTTTATATTTTAGAAAATTGTCTTTATTATCAAATTCAAAAAGTATACCTATATGATTATTCCAACATTAGACATATATTTCTGCGAATGACACATTCATTGCTGAGAAGAAGATGGAAAACTCAATACGGAAAGCGATATACACGTTATATCGTTCGATCAATCGATCGAAAGTTGTTCAACTTTGCCAAGTCGAAACTGGATGCAAAAGTTTAAAGGAAAAGTTTACTCTCAATGAGGAATGTCATCTACATCCGTGGTCACACGGAATGTCGAATATCCAGTTAAAATTTGTTCAAATTCGTTAGGCAAAGTTCAAAGTTCCGACGGCGACTTGGTAAATTGCAATGCCAAAGCGAGTTCCGATTCCGGTTTCGTCTGCCTCGCGAGATAAGTATCTTCTGCGAGTTTTTGCAATTCCTCGTTATGTCAGAAAAACTCGAGAATCAATAGATGACATTTCGATCAAAATAAGTTTAATATATATTTTACAAATGACAACAATTTAAAAACTGAAGATAGAAATAAACAAAAAAAAAAAAGATAAATCATTAAGATTAATAAAATCGCAAAAAATTGATCACTTAAATATCGAGACTGATCATTGTTTGCACGTTACGATGATTACTTCAAAATTTATTTAGAATTATTGTAATCTC